GACTGAAGCGATCAAGCAGAGAGTTAGATTCGAGGAAGTCGGTCAATCTTGCATACACAACTCTCTCAAGGATCTTGGAGTAGCGATATAAGGCGGTATTTGGATGGGGAGTTGGGGTCAAGGTTGGGCTTTTTCAAAATCGGCGTTATGGTTGCATGCTTGAAGGGTGAAGGAAATGTGCCAGAGGAAAGGGAGAGATTGAACATTTTAGTGAGAGGAAGAGCAAGAGAGGGAGACAGAGTGCGGATGAGATATGAGGGAATAGGATCGAAGGAACAGGTGGTGTGGAGGGAGGACCGGAGCAGAGCAGAAACCTCTTCCGTTGTGGTAGGTGTGTCACATATTCATCCGCACATGAAAATGTGGTTAATGGCATTTACTGTACTGACAGGAAAAGTTGTGCCGAGCAACATTACCATCCTGACAGGAAAAGTTGTGCCAAGCAGCAATCATGCAAACCTGGTAATAGGAGGAGAGGAGGAGGAGAGCTCCCCGCCCGGCGATGGAAAAAGGTAAGTTTTAACCCCTGTCCTTTCCCCAGAGCCGGGCGGGAGGGGGACCCTGAAGGTGGGGGCACCCTTAATAGGGCTTAACAAGCTCCCGGGTGGTCTCTGGTTCGTGCGGCTGTTCAGTTCCGAAACCAAATATAAAATCCCACGAACCAAGTTTGTTCCTATAGTTTTTAAAGGGCCCATAGTCTTTTGGTAGGAGGCTGGCCAGCACGCCCCTCCAAGAACACATGGCTGAGGAATTTCTGCCACAGCGGGTTCTCTATGTCAGGAATTTTTAGCCAATACCTAATATCTTCAAAGGGTTGGTGTGCATCAGAACTGGACTGATAGAAAGGTGTCAGAACACACATTGTATCACACATATGAGACTGTGTAGTGCAGACAGGTCAGAGTGCCCATGATAACCCCTGTCTTTTGCCGAAAGTGCCTTCAAAGTGGGCATTAGCATCAGAACTGGGCCGTGGAGCAATGGAAGAAGGTTGCCTGGTCTAATGAATCAGGTTTCCTTTTTGATCAGGTGGGTGGCTGGGTGCATGTGCGTTGTTTACCTTGGGAAGAGATGGCAGCAGGATGCACTATGGGAAGAAGGCATGCCAGAGGAAGCAGTGTTATGCTCTAAGCAATGATATGCTGGAAAACCTTCAGTCTTGGCTTTAACTTGGATTATACTTTGACACATACCACATACCTTGAGATTGTTTCCAACTCCATACAGTCTGTTGCTATTCATGGCAATGGTTTTCCCTGATGGCACTGGCCTCTTTCAGCATGAAAGCAGAAAGCACCCTGACACACTACAAAACATGTTCAGGAATAGTTTGAGGAACATGACAAAGAGGTCAAGGTGTTGCCTTGGCATCCAAATTCCCTAGGTCTCAATCTGATTGAACATATGTGGGATATGGTGGAACAACAAATCCGACCCATGTTGGCCCCACCTCGCAACTTGCAGGACTTAAAGGATCTGCTGCTAATGTCCCGGTGTACTAATGGCCTAAGGCCAGCCCTGTATGTACTTATTAACATGTTTATAGTGATTCAAGGGCGGCAATGGATACACACTCTCCATGTGACATAGAATGATGTTAAGATGTTGTTTCCCAACCTGTAAGATGTAATGAATTGTTGTCCTTCTTATTTATGATGATTGACAATTTGGAATACTAAAGCTGATAGGCTGGTAGGCTGGTTTTCAACTCCATACAGTCTGTAGCTATTTACATTCTTAAACACGCCAACATCTGACAGAGTCCTGTGCCGTATACAAATATATGTAACCATACATTCTTATGTGTAACAGTTTAAATTTACTTCTCCTATATGAATTGATAATTTTTACTCTTATTTTATTGCTGTTTGATGTGGGTTCATTTGTTTCAGAGTTTTAATGTAATGCCATATTTAGCCATTATGTATTTTTCCTATAAGGTGTTTGGGGATTTAGATGTTGTTTACCACCAGACAAGAGGCTGCTGTTTAGTTGTAATGCTTGACAGTAGTCAGTATTAAAACCAATCAGAAAGCAATCATCAAAGGGACACTCCATGCACCAATACAACTTATGTGCATTTGATAGGTTTGGCCTCATTAATAGGGTGTATTTTTTGCATGCTTAAATCTTTGTAGTTTTTGCACACACACACACAAAAAAGCTGTTTTACAGAATGCTGCACCTTAAGCCTGCCTATTTAGTCACGCCCCTCGTGCCAGAAAGACTTCCTTATCTAATGTAGATATCTCAGCAACTGACAGTACTGAATGATCTGAACTACAAAGCAACCTGCATTAGAATGAGAGGACACCCAGGGAGGCATAGAATAAAGATAGCTCTACCTGTTTATAGTTTCTCTGAAAGTCTGCAGCCAGATTGTGAATTATTAGCAGCTCTGTCAGTGCTGTTATTGCTGAGACCGTGTACAGGGGCTTATGTTGCCTTATATATTTTTTTAATACAAAAATGCAATCAAATGCATTAACTTTGTAATGGTACCCGGAGTGTCCCTTTAAGTAGCAGTTAGCAGCTCCCACAGAGAATAATTGAAATCATTAGCTACTACTTAGTCACTGGCTTTACTGTTGTTGTTACAAGACACATTTTGAAATTGATAAGCAGCCCCTACTTGCTAATTGTATTGGCAAGCATTTCAATTTAGCAGTTTATTTTGTAAACTTGATATGTGCTACTGTACTAAAAATTACTAATTTGTGCTCAGCAATTTATTTTGAGTATAGAATGCCCCCTTTGCATACCCTTATCATGTGCAAATACCATGCCAGTGCATTTTCATGGTAAATTGAAGATGGGTCTATGGCAATGGCGGATCTAGAGCCTAATCTCGGGAGGGGCATTTGTAGATTATTTAAAGAAATAATCCATGCACAATAACCACTACAGCTCTGTGCAGTGGTTATGGTGCCGGGACCCCCTCCCAGAGTAAGTAGTCAAACTGTTTAAGAACAGTTTGACAACTTACCTGGGATCTGCTGGCATATGGGGCTGTAGTAGGGCACAGGAGCAGTGGTGTGTGAGGGGTGCAGTGTGTGTGAGAGGTTCAGAGTGTGGGGGGGGGTGTAGTGTGTGAATGTGTAGGGTGTGTGGGGCAATGTGTGTATGGGGGCAATGTGTGTATGGGAAGCTGCGTAAGTGTGTGTGGGGCAAATGTATGTATGGGGGCTGTGTATGTGTGTGTGTGTGGGGCAATGTGTGTATGGGAAGCTGTGCATGTGTGTATGGGGGCTGTGTATGGGGGGCAGTGTGTGAATGTGTATGGTGTTTGTGGGGCAATGTGTGTGGAGGGGACAGTGTGTGAATGTGTATAGTATGTGTGGGGGCAGTGTTTGTGTGTGTGTGTGGGGGTAGTATGTCTGTGGGGCAGTGCATGTGTGTATGGGGGCAGTGTATGTGTGTGTGGGGCAGTGTGTATATGGGGAAATGTGTGTGTGTGTGTGTGTGTGTGGGGCAGTGTGTATATGGGGGCAATGCATGTGTGGGGCAGTGTAGGGGGGAAGTGTGTGAATGGGGGGCAGTATATGTGTGTGTGTGGGGGCAGTGTGTATATGGGGGGCAATGCGTGTGTGGGGCAGTGAAGGGGGGGCAGTGTGTGAATGTGTGGTGAGGAGGGTATGGGGGCTTTTTAATAATTTTAAAAAAATAAAAATAAATAAATTTGTTCCCCCTCCCTTCTTACCTTTACTGGAGGGGGGACATTTCTCGATCCCTGGTGGTCCGGTGGGGAATCCCTAGTGGTCCCAGTAGTGAGAGTGAACTCTGGCCCGTAGCTCCAGGGCTAGAGTTCACTCTCACGAGATCATGAGCGTTGTCGTGGTAACCGCGGCAATGCTCCATGCTTACGAGAGAAGGACCCGGAGAAGCTGCAGGCTGAGCTCCCGGGTGTTCTCTCCCTCCCTCCCCTGCCGGCTGCCAGCATGGTGCCTGCGGACACCCCGTTGCCCGCCTGGATCCGCCAGTGGCCTATGGTACCTTTTGAGTAATTTTAGTAGCTATCATATTTAAATTACCCCATCAATTCATGATATTTGCAAATGTTGATACCATGTGGACTCTCATGATATATTGTGAGCTTTATTGAAGTGTCATTATTTTCACCTTTATTTATTTGTGGTATTAATGTTTTTATTTTTACATACACACTATACTTTTGCTAATTATTTTTAAATCTCATGTATGCCACTGTAATAAAAGTATCTTAACTATACTCAGATCTCCTAACAACATCTTCTTACAAAGTAAGAATTTAATTGTGAATGCAAGATAGAATCAACATTGTGACATCAATCAAAAACAGGGAGCTGACAACAACAGTGTTGATAGTACATATAAAATAGTGTACAATTTTAATCCTATCCCTGATCCAAACCCTAATTCTATACAAAATTCTAATCCTAATTCTAACCCTAATACTAAACCTCACCCTAATCCTACCAAATACCCTAACATTAATCCTTCCCTTAATCCTAATCTTAATTAAAACCATAGCAATAGTGTTTGGATTCCCTCTGGTGATGTCAGCTGGGGGATTTCCTTATTCCCTTGCCGGCCCTAATTCTAATTTGAACCCTAATCTGAAACCTAGTCCTAATTCTAAAATTGATACTATACCTATTTATAATTCTAAATCCAATGCATATTCTAAACCTAATCTAAACCTAATCTTAATCCATATTCTGTTTCCTTAATCTAATTCTAATTCCACGGGTTTCCCTATGCTTATATCAGTACTGATGGTTACAGAGGAATGTCACAGGTTACAATGTCACTGAGTATATTTTGGTTGCGGTTTCTGCAGTCCTCCGCTGGTTCTGGATACAGCTACAGCATACAGTGATTACAGCTACAGGAGACAGTGACTGTAGTCCTCTGGAACAAGCGACTTGTTTAATGCAAGGAAAACACATGTATTTATACCCCTACACACCACTGGGGGTCTTTAATCAGAACAATGCAAACCACTCCCTGTGTCTTTGTGCCTGGGACATAATTAGGTTAAAAAGGGATAATTGTATGGGAAAAGAAAAGAAAACGGGGAAGATCTCCTGAGGAGAGATCCCCATTGGGGTCCACAATTGTAAATAGGCTGTGACAAAAAAATACAACATACAACAATTGACGAGGAAGAGATACTATAGTAGATACCATATAGTGATGGTAGAATGACTATATATCAAATAGGTAAACCAACAGGCTATATTTATTTGCCTAAAATGTATTACCCAGAAACCATTTTGTATCCCAATGGGGATTTCTCCTCAGGAGATCTTCCCTATTTTCTTTTCTTTTTTAACGTTATTAGGGTTCATGCCCAGAGTGGGTGGGTATTTCCCATACAAGGGTTATTAGATATTTTTATATTCCACAATAACTTCATGTAAGACAACATATCCCCACAATATCACTTTACATCACTTTAAAGCTGGTGGCCAATTGCACATACTGTCCAAAAAGCAACATGATCGGAGAATTCACAACTGAGTTATAACATATTAAAGTTTTATTGATCCGCCTCAGCGTTCCAGGTGTGCGGTTTTTCCCAGTCTTGCAAAACAGGGTTTCTGGGGCTCCAGTGAGGTACCCCCACACGCTGACCACCCATGCTGATCAGTGGTCTTGTGGCCGATAGTTATCCCGGATGATTTTTGCTGGCAGCGTCACTCCTGCAATCTTATCTATAGTTGCACGCGACTCACGGGTAGCTCCCGGACAGGCGATCTCTGCTGTACCAAGTCTCCTGGAGGTCCCTTGGGAAGTACTTTGAATGGTAAGGGCACAGCATGGAAGGGGCATTTAGAGGTCATTTGGTCTTTCAGGGAGGAAATGACTGGAAGTCCTGCTCCAGTTGTTAGAATAGCAATGTGGGAAAAAGATAACACAAATCAACAGGAAAGGGATCTCTGGGACTGGGCCCATATCAGGAGGCTTCCATGATAATGGAATTCTAAGCTAAAACAGAGAGTGGTATGTTGCTGCCATCTAAGGCTATTTTCAGTATGACATGCAGATGAATGTTAAACCTAAAATACTATTCCCAATGCATTGTGATATGTGCTGAGCAACTGGCAAGCCCAGCATAGGGGTGGAGATAGACTCTCCATGATCTGTTCAGACTCTGAGTGTCTTCCAAGCACCAGCTACATAGAGAGAATCACCAGGCTGATTTTGATCAGTAAACCATGAGATTTTCAATGTACTGGAAACTGTGACTTCAGTACTGCATAAAGTTCACCAATCAGTCTGAGGAGATTAAAAACAACCTCAGGTGATAGAGGGGAACCCCAACTAGTATCAACTAGTATCTGGGACTCCCTGGTGCAAGCAGGGATTTAACCCCGCTTACATAAGTTTGTAGCAATTTGGTTTTAAAACCCCATTTGAATGGCGGTTTGCATTGCTCACTTTGAGTGCTGCTAACAGAAAGCCACTAAATCTGGCCCCAGCTGACAGAGGGGAGCCTCACATATGAAATTGATACCCCTGGACAATGGTCCCTGCTGGTAAAATACCACATGATGGAATTATTCCTTCATGGGTTCGAAAGGGAAGGACAACCATGACAGAATAATTAAGTCATCCATCGTTAAAGGTTTAACTTCAAGTAGAATAGATGATGTTTGGCTTACAAAATAGAGGGAATAAAATAGACACACTGTTTCAGAGGGAATTCCACTTATTGAAAGATCAGTTTAGATTCCTGATATCTCAATCCTAGGTGCAGTTCTGATAAGATCTTAGATGGTCATTTTCTGTATAACCTATGCAAGAGATTTCTCTCTACCTCCAAATAAGTTTCATGTACTAATGTCTAGGAAATAACTGTTTACAAGCCATCTCTTTAACTATTCCTATCAGGGATGGACAAGCAACTTTTGACTTAGATGTTCAAGTAGAAGTAGATATCCCTTTTGAAACTATATCAACCCACTACCTTACACCTCCTCATAATTTATGAGATTTCTACCACCAGCCCAAGCCCAGAAGACACATTTAATCAGCACAATTCATGCCTGCAGTCTGTCCTCTGTAGTACTGTGCCAGCACACCATACTTATTACTGGAGCTGAGAAGTTGCTCCGCCAAACATCCTGTAAGCTTGAGACACATGCCTCTCGTCAACCCTTACCTGGTTTGCATCCAGACATATTTGTGTTTATCTTAACTGTTGTTATTAACCCTATGTGAAATATGTCACCAAGAAAAGCAGCAGTCCTTTTATCTCTAGCTCCATCTAATAATGAGACTTTACTAGCAAGTGTTAAGTGTTTTATACAAATTAATCGATAATTCATAACACTTGCACAAGCTAGCTGCAAAGTTTATATATGTCTACTACTATTGGAACCATAAAAAAAACCTTATCAATTTACACAAATGTACAGTTTATTACGGAGTTAAACATAGTGTGAATATTTAAAGGGACACTACTTTATCCTAATAAAGCAGTTTTGGTGTATAGATCATGCTCCTGCAGTCTCACTGCTCAATTCTCTGCAATTTAGGAATTAATTATTTTTTTTTCTGTGCATACTGCCCTAGTCGCACTTCCCATGTCTATGACTGACACAGCCTGCATGAAAAAAATGGTTTCCTTTTCAATTACATATTAACTTGCTTTAGAAGTTTTTATCTCCTGCTCTGTAAATTGACCTTTAAATACACACAAGAAGCTCCTGCAGGGTCTAGGAGAGCAGGTAATAGACATTCTAGATTAAACAGACTGTGCAATAAAGGATCCTTAAATATCTAGGTTCCTTTTCAGGCTGTGCAAGTCACATGCAAGGAGGTGTGACTAGGGCTGCATAAACAAAGTGATTTAACGCATAAAACTGAGACAATTGAACATGGAGACTGCAGGGGCATGATCTATACACCAAGATTGTTTCACTAAGCTAAAGTTGTTTTGGTTCCTATAGTATACCTTTAAACAGATGCACAAAATATATTTGTTCTAAATCGTATACAGTAAAATATATTATTGCAACTATTTCATAGTAAAACTTACTATTTTATAGAATTGACATCTATAATGAAATTAAAAATATATACTTGTATACTCCTCTAAATTAGGTGCATGTAGTATGATATATAAGAATATTTTTTAAGAGGTAGTGAAGACCCTGCATCTTATTTGTCTTCTTTACTTTTCACATTTCTTTATGTTCCAGGTATCACAGCAGAATATGAACAGATGGCTTACAAAGGACCATATCCTGCATTTAGCAGGGCAATCTCCTGCAAAGAATTCAAAACAAATTAGTTTAATAAACAGATACTTTACAAGTGAGTGTGTATGTATGTCTGTCACTGAGTGTGTGTCTGTCAGTAAATGTGTGTGTCTGTAAGCTAGTGTGTATGTGTCTGTTCATGAGAGTGTGTGTGTCTGTGTGTATACTTGTCTGTTAGTGAATGTGTGTTTGTTAGTGAGTGTGTATGTGGGTCTGTCACTATGAGTGTGTGTCTGTATGTATGTGTATCTCTGTGTGTGTGCCTCTATGTGGGTCTGTATGTGTATCTCTTGGTCTGCATGAGTATCTGTGTGTGTATCTGAATGTTTGTCATTAAAGAACCACTATAGAGCCAGGAAAACAAACTTGTTTTTCTGGCACTATATAGTCCTTAGGTCCCCCCCCCCATCCTTGTGGCCCCCCTCCCACTGGGCTGAAGGGGTTAAAAACAGGCTCCGTTGGCGCTGGGGATCTCTCCGACCCAATCCGCCTCTCAGCTCCGAATGTGCATATGTGGCGTTAAAACCGCCCATAGGAAAGCATTACTCAATGCTTTCCTATGGACGTCCAGCGTCTTCTCACTGTGATTTTCACAGTGAGAATCGCGGAAGCGCCTATAGCGGCTGTCAGTGAGACAGCTACTAGAGGCTGGATTAACCTTCAGTGAAACATAGCAGTTTCTCTGAAACTGCTATATTTTCAGCTGCAGGGTTAAAACTAGAGGGACCTAGCAACTAACTATCTTCCCACCGGCCCACAGGCACTGAGATGCGGCTGGGGAGGGATAGAGGACCAGGGGAGCTCTTTCCTGCAGCTCCACAGGGTTCCTCTCGTGAGGTCAGAGTGTTGCCATGTTTACTATGGCAACGCTTCGATCTCGCAAGAGTGAACTCTACCCCAGGAACTACATGGTAGAGTTCACTCCACACAGGACCACCAGGGATTTCCCACCTGTCCTCCAGGATCAGCAACAAGGTCCCCCATTCCCAGACAAAGGTAAGAAGGGAGGGGGGACATAAATATTATAATAATAATAAAAAGAATAAAAAAAAAAAAAACACACATACATATTTTTTAGTTTTACCACACATCACACTACACCCCCAAACACCACACTGCACCCCTTACATGCACACACTACACCCCAGACATTACATTACACCCCAAACACCCCACTGCACCCCTCACATGCACACACTAAACCCCAAACATCACACTACACCGCAAATACCCCACTGCACCCCTCACATACACACACTAAACCCCAAACATCACACTACACCCCAAATACCCCACTGCACCCCTCACATGCACACACTACACCCCATTGCACCCCTCACATGCACACACTACACCCCAAACATCACACTACACCCGAAGCACCCCATTGCACCTCTCACATGCACACACTACACCCCAAACACCACACTGCACCCCTCACACACACACTGCACCCCAAACACCACAGAGCACCCCAAACACACACACTACACCCCAAACACCACACAGCACCCCAAACACCACAGAGCACCCCTCACACTCGCACACCACACAGCACCACAAACACCACAGAGCACCCCACACACACACCCCACACAGCACCCCAAACACACAGTGCACCCTTCACACACAATGCACCCTCACACAAACACACAGTGCACCTTTTACACACACTGCACCCCAAACACCACACACACACCACCCCAAACACAAACTGCACCCCTCACACACACACAGTGCACCCTTTACACACCCTGCACCACCACACACACACTGCACCCTCCACACACCACACACACTGCACCCCAACACACACTGCACCCCTCACACACACACTGCATCCCTCACACACCGTGCACCCTTCACACACACACTGCACCCTTCACACACACACAGTGCACACCCTGCACCCCTTCACACATTACATTCTAGACACACGCTACATCCCTTATACATACACACTACATCCCATACATAACTATGAATCCTCTACACACCAGAATCCCTATACACACTCAGAATCCTCTACACACACACACACACTAAATCTCCTATGCACACTCTGGATTCTCCACACACAATAGATCCCCTATCGGCACACACTGCACCACCTACACACACTAAATTAAAGACATACACACTCTGGGTCTCCTATGAACACACTAGATCTCCTGTGAGCAAAAACACACTACTTTCCCTAAACACACACACTTTACAACCCCTACACACTACATAATCTATACACACATACACTACAGCCCCTATGCACACACTCGCTACATCACATATACTCACACTCTCTACAGCCCCTAGCCATACATATTACACCACAAACACAAAACAAATTAAACCGACATTTACACAAAACACCACACCACAATGAACTGACTCAATACACACACTCAATACCACAAGCAGGATCTAAACACATGTACAATACACTTTCCTTACACTATTGTCCTCTGGTATCCCACTTATGGAGACATGGGAGAAATGTCACAAGCAAACAGCACAAGCATCTTAATAAATTTGCTTGCCCAGCATAGAACAAATACAGGGCTTTTTTTCATGCAAGAGCTCTTCAGCAGGGCTCTGCACATTGAACCAACCTGCTCACTTTGAGAGGGGGCGTGCTTGTCATTGGAGATAACAAAACACCTCCCTCTCTGGCCCGCCCCCTTCTCAGTGGGCCGCTGTGATTCAAAAATGCCCGGGACAAATTTTTTCCCCAGTCCGGCCTTGCTTTTAGGAATTCTTTATTGTTCGTTTATAGTTTCAAAAATTACATCTGCTTAATTAAAAATAACTGCTCTACATAATGAAAATGAAAGCATACCGTGTATATTGCAAACCTCAGATTTTATACTTACAATAAGATCATAAAATTTCTCTGCCATTGCCTGTTCAAAGAATTGTTGATGTCGCTGATATTCAGGGCTGGTTGTTTTCAACTTTTGCTGTTTTTTGTCCAAACTTGAAAGAACTAGCATAGACATTTCTTTTCCTTTTTTGCTAGTTTGGGTTTTCAAATATTTCTTCATGTTATC